ATACGTTTTCACATTTTCGTTTCACGAAGAAATTATATTTCCATTAAACGTTATTATTTATGGACTTATTTAAAATTTAATTGACGAACCGAGTAAACGTAAGCCACCTGGGTAAGTAATTTTATGAATGAATGTTTGCAAGGCTGATCCCAATTTTAGTTACTTTTTTATTATTTAGTTTGTTTGAAAAAAAATTTTAAGCTAAAGTTGGTAAAAATTACTTTGCGTATGTACATCCGCTAAAAAGTAATTTTTACCAGTGGATTTCCTTGCGATGAAGCTAAACAAAAAGACAGTATTAATATTTGTTATAATTATTTATTATAAAGGGACAGTAACTTAATTAGATTTTAATGTTTATTTAACAATCATCGTTTTGTAAATGCATTCCTCTTTTTATTGACTAACGAAAACCTAACATATATTTACTTACCTATCCAATATTTACTAAATACTTATCTATTACTTTAACTACATAATTAAAAGTATAAATTTAATAAAATTAACACATAAGTGTCAATCTTGACGGGCGGGTTGGCAACCGCAGTTTTTTTTATTGTAATTTGCTGTTATCACGAAGATGCTTCTGCCTCAGTTTCCCTTTGTTGCCTCTTACGACACTCACGGGAAGATAGATGTAGTGGGTATTCTTACCCGCCACTACACAGGGTTATCATATACTAATATAAGTTATAGCCTACACTTGTAGTGATACTAGTATTGTCACAATAATTTTCATATTTTGCATTGTAAAGATATTTAGATTACCATATGTATATGATCATGATTAACGTCCATGTCACACCTATGCCGGTAGTTGTTGGGAGCACTAAGCTCGAAGTTGTTGACGAGTATGTTTACCTGGGACAAATAGTCCGACTAGGTAAGTCGAACTTCGACAGAGAGGTCAATCGACGAATTCAACTCGGCTGGGCAGCGTTCGGGAAACTACGACACATCTTCTCGTTAGACATACCTCAAAACCTGAAAACGAAATTGTACAACCAGTGCGTGTTGCCAGTGATGACTTACGGATCTGAGACGTGGTCCTTCACTGCTGGCCGTATGAAGAAGCTCAAGGTCGCTCAGCGAGCTATGGAGAGGGCTATGCTCGTGGTGTCTCTGCGTGATAAACTTAGAAATGAGGATATCCGCAGTAGAACCAGAGTAACCGACATAGCCCAACGGATTAGTAAGCTCAAGTGGCAGTGGGCCGGCCATATAGCTCGAAGAACCGACAACCGATGGGGAAGAACGGTTCTCGAGTGGCAGCCTCGTACCGGTAGGCGAAGTGTAGGGCGACCCCCACTAGATGGAGTCACGATCTGGTGAGACATGCAGGAAGTCGATGGATGCAGGTGGCTCAGGACCGTGCTTTGTGGCATTCCTTGGGGGAGGCCTATGTTCAGCAGTGGACTTGTGAAGGGCTGTAATGATGACGTATATGACTACTGGTGTTCATTTTAATAAAATTAATGGAAAATGGTAAAAAACTCGCCCGCCAAGCGTGGGACCTAGGCATATATGTACTATTCAAAATCCACTATAAGCGGCAATTTATAGTGAGGCCTATTTTCAGCGGCGGACTTTCATAGGACGTGTAAATGGCGGCTGTCTTCGTATACTTCTAACCGGTTCAGTGCGGATGACAGGCCAGGCATGCCATCGATTACTTTTGTGTGTGGCGTATGACACACGAGTCGTGTCTTTTTAAAAATCGTTATAACTCGCGCAAATTGCGTTTTTGGAAAATTTATCCAGAACAAAATATTCATTATTTTGCAAGTAGTTTATGCCTGCAGCTTCGTTACTGGATATTTTGAAAATTCGAAATTTTTAGGGGTTGACAACCTTTTTTTTATCTTTTACATGGTACTCTTTTTACTTTGTGGGTTTTCAATCAGGTTGTGAAAAAATAGTCTAATAAGTAACAAATAATAGCTGTTCGCGCCAAACGCTGTTGTCGGAATCGACGTCAGAGGGCGCGCGGCTCGGTGCCATACCGGTTTGACAGTTGGATGTGTCGAGCGCGCGCGAGTGCATAGTCAGTCGACTGCCAGCTGTGCTTGGGACAGCACGCTGTCATTTTTTGTCGGGAACTCGGAATAATTAGGCGCGGCTCGTAAATGTACTGTCTAGGATTTGTGACGCGTATTCCTTGCTGTAGAGCTTCCCCGGGACTCATTGGGTTTGACTCGGAATCACTTTAGGTGCATTCGACAATATTATCTAGTGCGGCCTTTGATATTCTAGAAATAACTGTTGCTACGCGAAACGGTAGTGACCTTTGATCCGGACACTTCGTGTTCGTTTTGTGCGTTAACCTTATGACAAACGAGAGTTAGTGGCTTCTGTAAGTTAGTTAATCGTGCGATAGAGTTAATGGACTGTCATCGTGACGAACGAGGAAAGTGACTGTGGACAACGCCGCGGAAGACCTCAATTTGGAGCAGCCTGGAACTCGGCCGCTGCTGGTCGCCTATGCTTGCCAAGGCCCCACACCTTCACACCTCACTGTACACTACTCGCCATCCAGTATTACACACACTCACGGCATGCCCAAGCCTTGGTGCGAAGTTAACTTCGAATAATGGTAAGTACTACGTGTTTCTAGCTTTCTCCCTTATTGTTTAGTGTAATTAGGAAATTCCACGTGGCCATATTCTGGCCCCGTCCCTCTGCTGCTCGTCGATGGGATTACTCATGAGCCCTAATCCCGTCATCCTTGGTTGGGGCAGCTAGGGGCGTGTACAATAGCATTCATTGCGATCGCTCACAAACTCAAGTTGTAAATAAATTTCTGGAAAACTAGTCTCCTGTTTAAAAAAAAAAAACAATGCGTTTGTCTTATTGTTTAATTTTGCTTAAAATGGTTGAACTGCCGTCTTATTACTATCATATATCCAAATAGACCTACGAAGTACCATGTGCTCTTGTCATATGGTATAAGGTTTATTTTTGTTTGAAACAGTTTGAAATCGTTCATGCATAAAAAAAAGTTCGCTTATAAATAGTCTTTCGTCAATCCGCCGCCGTATAGCGCCGGCGTTTGTTTCCTTTTGAAAACACTTGTTTTGCTATTCTTACTAATTAGACGTTTTGAAATCGACTTTACTTTTACATTTGTATAACATTAAATAATATTTAATATTTGTAAATATTAATGAATCATAAACCTTATTTTTTTCCAAATAAAGATTCTTGATTGTTTGATATTTACAAATATTATTATTAGGTGAAAATTTAATTTAATAAAAACCAAGGTTTCCAGGGTGATTTAGCTGTACCTACTTATATAAATTATTTTTTTATAAAACAAAAAATAGTATAAAAGGTTTGTAATCTCTGCATAAAAAAGTCACTTACTCTCAATTTCAAAGAAAACACGTATTTACCCACTAAAAACAAGTATCCTTTCGTTTGCAACTGATGTTTTATGTCAACTAAATTTAATTAGGTCTAAACAAGTGAAAAAAGCATAAAAAAGAACATTACTTTTACACGTGGCTGATGACACGCCTTATGTGCCACTTCTGTGGCGCTTGACACGACAAGCGTGTCACGAAATATTTGTTCGCCGCCACAGCTAAAAGTTGTCGAAAATTGGCGCCGCAACGAATCGGTTAATAGAATCCCAGTCCTGATCTCATCTGCCGTAAAAAACGTGGTATGTACATCCTGGTGAATACGACATGTATTCGAAATAACGAATCGCAGCTCCGTCTGTGTGGCACACATGCAACTTATCAAGTTCTTGAACACTTACCTTACTTAAATTTTCAATAATAATACATCATAACTGGCGTCGCATTAGTTTTTTTTTATAGGATAAGGGTGACAAGCGAGCGCACTGTCCACCTGATGGTAAGTGGTTGCTGTGGCCCATAGACATCGACATCTATATTCGTTTGCGAATTAAAATGCAGATGCGTTGTCACCCGTGAGGACTAAGATGGAATGCTTCTTTTCCAGTGAAAAAGTCTCCGGTTCTTTACACTCACCAAATGAAACACAGCAGCATTAAGCTGCTATTCTGTGAGAACGTGGTCCTTCCCCGTTTGAGTTGAGCCGACCCATTCGTGCTACAACTTTACTATTAATATAACTGTAGCATGGCTCTACCACGTAAAAAATTACATAAATACGTAAATTACCCTGAGGGCGTCGCACATGTATGACAAATATGTGCGTCATGCGCAGTATCCTCTTAGTAGTCTGTGAGTGATAACTACATATTTATCAATCAATAGCTGTCAAAATTTATTCTTGAGGGCCATAGAAATAAGGCCATATATATACACTTGTATAGAGATCACCACCCGTGGTAATAGCTTCTCGTTCGAACTATTCTTTATACGTGGTAGAACCACGCTGCAGCTATTATTGTAGCACGAATGAGTCGGCTCGACCGGGGTAGGACGCTCTCATAGAATATCAGTATCAAATGCAGCTTAATGCTGCTGTTACGTATCGTGAGTGTAAAGAACCGGAGACCCTTTTTACTGGAAACGAGGTATTCTATCTTAATACTCAAGGTGACAACGCAACTGATGGTAGGCATAATATAGGTGCGATGGCAATGGATCGTATGTATACCTATTCTTCAAATTTCTTACAACTGAGATATACTCATAAGCAGAAGTTCGAGATTTGAATTGATTTAGCATTAATACTTGAGAAACGTTTAATTTTAGAAAACTACTGCTACAACTAAAACAATAAAATCAATAATTTACATGCATATTTAATTTATCCTCAACTTATTTGAATTGAAATGACTTTTTGACAGAGGGAAACTTAAACAGGAGATGGCCAGCGACATCGTCCTGATAACAAATATAAATAATTTAAAAAAAAATTGGCCGGGCCGCAATTATGGCAGAATCCCTTCTATGCGGCAATCATTGAGGGAGACCTATATTTAGCAATAGGCAGGTTGTAATGGATGGATAGAGGCTTCTAACAACCTGTTTAAGGTAATGAAAAAAAAAACAAGGTGTCATTCAAATGTCTCTTTATTCACGTATTTACATAAAATAATAAAGTAATGAGATAATTTCATATCCTCGCTATGCATATTAGTAAATAATTTAAATTTAAATACAAATTAGATACACATGGATTAGTGTGGTTGCGATACTGAGAAGTGACGTGGAGATAGTTTGACGATTATATTATAGTAGAATATATTAACCCTTTACCGCATACTGTGCCAAATTTGGAACGCTTTAATTTTTTCCTTGTAAAATGTTATCAACGCCATCTATCTATTCCGTTCTGCATCAACAAACAAAAGTAAGGTGTGCTTTAACTAAGCTACTATAAACAACCTCCATTCTAGTCTTTTGAAACGTTATTATCTCTGGACAAAACAGTTGAGGCCGCCATTTTGTAGGAGCCCGACGTTTCTCAGCTTCATACAGCGATAAGTGTTGTTGTTCTTGCAATAAAATTAAAAAACTGTGTGAGTGTTGCAGAAAAATGGATCCTCAGCGCTTTTATGGTAAAAAACGTAAGTATATTTTATAGTATCTTGTTTAATTAATCGGTCAAAGTTTGTTCCAAATTCGGAACAAAATGCAGCCAGGCGCTTTTTAACTGGCCAAATTTGGAACTTCATGCAATGTGTTCGTTAAACCCCCTTGGTCATATTTGGAACATTATGCAGTGTAATTACACTCGTCCTAGTTTTGATTATTTATATATGAACTCATCATCACTTCACTAAATATTATGAAACAAAGCCGTCGGCCACGTCTATCTGTCTGTCTGTTTACGAAAACTACTGCACGGATTTTCATGCGGTGGTCACAATAGATAGAGGGATTCTTGAGGAATGTTTAGGTATAGAATACATCCCCGGGCGCGTCCGGGACGGGTTGCTAACTATATCTTAACCTAGAACTCAAACCTGGATGGCGAGGGCTAAATCCAGCCAGTCCCATCGAATTGACCAGTCTTTTTAGGGTTCCGTAGTATACGTCAAGGAACCCTTATAGTTTCGTCATGTCCGTCCGTCCGTCTGTCCGTCTTCGCTCTACCGTCCAAACTGTTAGCGCTAGAAAGATGAAACTTTGCATGGATATGTGTATTTACTACGCCGACAAAGTGCTAAAATAAAATTATGAAAAATGTTTTTTTCTGGGGTACCTCCCCTACACGTACTTAATGTGGGGATGATTTTTTTTCTGAAATGAATGTATAATATTTTTTCACAGGTCCTGCATTTTCCATCCCAGAGAGTAGTGAAGATGAGAAGGCATCGGATGATGAAACTTATAGAAACCCAGGTCCTGAGATTTTCATTCCAGAGAGCAGTGACGATGAAATCGCTTCAGATGATGATCGTGGAAATGTAGGTGAATTTGAAGAAATTTATTTAGATGACGACGCTCTTGATAATGATTGCGACGAATATATTCCTTATGAAACGGAAGAAGAAGATATCTCAAGCAAGCCTTCTACGTCAAAACAGCGCACAGGAAATAAGAGAAAGAAGGTTAAATGTGTATGGTCTGATGAAAGTATGGCGTATGACGAGTCACATATTGCGTTTTTAGGATGCCAAGATCTCCCAAATGAAATTATGAAACTCGAAGCGCCCATGGATTTCTTTAAATTTTTATTTCCTTCTTCAGCGATTAATTTAATTGTAAGGGAGAGCAACTTATATGCTGATCAAATCACCGAAAGCAACCACAATGAAGTCACGGAAGAAGACATACGTAAATTTTTAGGCATAATAATTTATATGTCTGTGGTGCATCTTCCAACAACACGTCATTATTGGAAGGAAGGTACATACATTGAAAAGGTGGCTTCAGCAATGACTTGTAACAAGTTTGAAGAAGTAAAAAGGTTTTTACATTTTTTTAACAAAAATGATGAGTTGGAGTCCGGTGATCCAAATTTTGACCGGTTACAAAAGATACGCCCTTTCCTTAATATATTGCGTGAAAGACTGTTACAAGTGCCTAAAGAAGAATACTTGGCAATTGATGAACAAATGATTCCTACCAAAGCACGTACTTCTGGTATGAGGCGTTATAATGCCAAAAAACCACACAAATGGGGCTACCTCAATTATGTGCTAAGCGGAGCCAGTGGCTTTAGCTACGATTTTGAGGTTGATACTGGAAAACACCCTGATCCGCCAGAGAACTGCCCTGACCTCGGAATACCAGGAAACATTGTCCAGCGTTTGTTAAACACTGTTTCTCAAAATCTTAATTATAAAATTTTTGTGGACAATTGGTACACTAGTTTGCCTTTGATGGCCAACTTGCATAAAAAAGGACTCCTTCCTTTAGGAACAATTCAGCTCAATAGAGCACCCAATATAAATATAGAAAAAAAAACTATTATGAAAGAAGAAAGAGGATATTGTGCGGAAAAATCTACCATTTATGAGGATGTCAAATTAACCGTTACTACTTGGGTAGACAATAAACCTGTTAGCCTGTGTTCTTCATACGTAGGCAAAGAACCCATGGCAATGGTGAAAAGATTTTTAAAGAAAAAAAGGGCCAAAATTGATATCCCTTGCCCAAAGGCTATTACAATTTATAATAAATATATGGGCGGCGTAGACTTATTAGATTCTATGCTAGGTTTTTATAGGATTAAAATTCGAAGCAAAAAGTGGTATCACAGATTGTTCTTCCATTTTATAGACCTAGTCTGTGTAAATAGTTGGTTATTGTGGAGACGTAGAACCAAACAAAAAGGTGAAGACATGTACATACCCTTGCTGGATTTTAAATTAATGGTGGCAGAAATTCTGATGCAAGAAGATGCCAGAGTTTTTACACCAACTCGCAGAGGACGACCGCTAAATGCAAATATAGAAAATATTAAAAAAGACAAAAAACGACGCCGCATTGAATTGCCTCCTGTTGAAGTAGCCGAAGATGGCTTTAATCACTGGCCGGAGTGGAATACTGACCGACAAAGGTGTAAGATGGTCGGCTGTGGTCAAAAAACCCAAGTAATGTGTACTAAGTGCAAATGTTATTTATGCTTGAATAAGGACCGCAACTGTTTTAAAAAATTTCACATGTCGCATGATTGAATAAATAAATTAAAATTCATAAATGTTTGCTTTCGCATAGGTTTTTTTGTATTATTTTTAATAAACTAATTTCTTAAATGTATGAAAATAAAAATATTAAGTAAATATATTTTTATGTAGTTTTAATTAATTGAAGTAACTTAATTTAAAAAATTGATTAAATATAAATAATTTAATTATAAAATCTATATGTATAATAATACCTATATAAAAACTTCACAATTTTTAGTAATCATATTTTTGACATTTTTCTAATAAAATAAATTTGCAATTATATTGATACGACGTCACATAAGTATTTAATTTCTTAAAATATGTTTTTATTTAGACATAAATTTGAAATTATGACCTTAAAAAAAACATGCTTATCCAAAAGTAGAACACACTGCATGATGTTCCAAATATGGAACACGTACAATTATAAGCTTGAATGCATATCGTTCCAAATTTGGAACCAAAACTTTGGATATTTTTTTTGTAATGAATAATACCTCGATTTTTTTTTAAATATTTTTATATCAACAGGTATAAGGTATAGAACTAAATATTTTTTTTTAAGTTGATTTAAAAATTCCATGCGGTAAAGGTTTAAACAACTTTAAACAAGATATAGTAGGAGAGAGATATAATTATTTATAATTTGTTTGTGTACATAATTATATTTTAATTTTAGCCAAATCTACGCCTAAACGGGTACAACTCTTTCATACAATTTAGAATGTATCATTCAACGACACTATAATCAAAAATTGGGATAATCCTCAAAAATTTTGTCCAAACACACAGTATTCAATGCAAAAAAAAAAAACAATCATTGGTTGATAATAAATAAGTTATTCGAAGCGATATTTTATTGTCGAGATCTCCAAATTCTTTTTAAATTTATAAACAAACATACTAAACGAAACATGCAATCTATATAATATATATTATAATAGTACACTCACCGGCACGGAAACTTGGCCACTTGTGAATTTGCTGATTATTTGCACTAAAACGTTTTTTTAACAGTAAATTAAGGGTAGATGCATTCAATAAGTGTCTCTAATGGTCTTAGAACGTAGAAATTTAATGTTTACTTCACCGAAATTTTTCTTTTCAAGATAACATGTTTTCACTAAAATTAACATCTTTCCATTGTCACTTTAAAAACACTACAAAGTTAAAAATTAAGTCTGTTTCTTTATTGTCTATCAGTTTTAATATCGGGTGTTTCCTCCTCTAGCCCTGATAACCGCTTGCATTCGATCTGGCATGCTTTGAATGATGTTTCTGACATCAACTTGCGGTATGCTGTCCCAAGCGGCCAGCGCTGCATTTCGGAGCTCATTTAGAGTTTGTGGCGGTTTGGAGCTGGACTTTATCTTTCTTTTGAACATACCCCATACATGCTCAATTGGATTTAAGTCCGGGCTACGAGCTGGCCACTGTAATTTTTGTATTCCAACCTCTTCCAGATATTCCTCTACACAATGTGCGACGTGCGGGCGTGCATTATCGTGCATGAGGAGGAATTGGTCGTGTCCAATGAATCCCGAATAAGGCATTACGTGCTCCTGAAGAACTTCCTCGATGTATCGAGTAACTGTAAGCCGACGATGACCAACTCTGTACGTGCGTCGGAACTTACACCTCATTACACACCACTTACACACCATACCATTATTGAGCCTCCATGGAAACTCACAGTTTGGGTGGTGGTAATGGGTAGAAACCTCTCTCCTCTTTTTCTCCACACTCGTTCTCGACCGTCTGGAGCACGTAAAGCTATTCGACACTCATCTGTGAACAACACTAGCCCATTGCTCGTGGGTCCAATTGACATGTTCTCTTGCGAACTGAAGTCGGGCTACTCGGTGCTGTCTGAGAAGTTCTGGACCTCGTGCTGGTCTACGAGCTTTTAAATTCACTTCCTCCATTCGTCTTCTCACCGTACGCTTACTAACATTAACGCCTCTTGCGATTTGGAGCCGCTGGCGTATCTCAACAGCGGTCAGGTAGCGGTTTCTCAAAATCTCCATAACAATAAAACGATCGTCCCGGGCCGATGTGCACCTTACGCCCCCACTGCCTGGCCTGCGGGTGTAGCGTCCTGTCTCCTGGTATCGTTTCAGTGAATACTGCATTGAGGACCGTGGTACGTTAAGCACAATAGCAACTTCACGCTGTGTCAGCCCTTGGTCAATTAATGCTACTGCTTGTGCAACTTGTACTGGTGTTAATGGCATTTTGATTGGCTTTAAAGCACCTTTAGTTATTGAATTAAGACACAAGATCACAATAATTGAATAACCTTACAGTAAACTTTTCACAACACACAAATTTAAAATGTGAACTTAGTCGCTCAAACGACCCGATTCAACTAAAAATTAAAGAATTCGTCATGGTGCACTTAAACATAATGAATTACCCTCTTGAACTTGAGAGCAAACATTTTTTGACATACCTGCATAACAAACATTCATCAGAAACACTTAAAGCTTTTGCTATCGCGAGATAACCGCTTGGCCAAGATTCCGTGCCGCTGATGTAGTTGTAATTTAAATTTTTCGCATAAAAATTTCATTCAATACGAAACCAATCGTAGAGGCATTTTGCACAATTATCTAGCGTGGTCTTTGGACAATATAAAACTTTCACCAATAATGCATAATCTGTGCCTAAACACTAACGGCTGTATTAATAATCATTTTTAAACAGTTCATTAGTTAAAAAGTGTTTTGTCACTTTCTAGCAACAAGTATCTCGCAAATGTCAGAATGAGACAAAACACTTTTTAACTAATGAACTGTTTAAAAATGATTATGAATACACCCGTAACACTCCAAGTATGGAGTGTAGAGTAGAAGGAGAACCATCTTATAAGGTGCGAAAGTTGAAAAAGTGTCCCAATATTTACTGAAAATAGAGGTTCCAAAACCTACCACAATAGCGCTGGCGTCTGAAAAACTACGATATGAATATAGCTGTTGTTGACGGAGTGAAGTCAGCTGAATTAAAATATTTAAAAAATTTCATGACTAGAGTAGTTAGTAAAATGCCAGTATACAAAACCTCAACTATTTACGTAGTACAAAACCAAGCAGATTGGCCGGTCCTTGTTTATTTCTCCATCTTATTATAATAAATTTTGGCGCTTTTTTTAAATTCATCCTATGCTACTACAGCGCCACCCTTATTGGACGCGTTTTAGGGACACTTTTCATATACAGAGATGGTTCTCCTTCTACTCTACACTCCATAACTCCAAGGCAGCGTACACTGGAAGCGCCATCTTATAATGTCAACATTCGACCACAAAATGAATCAAATCAGCTAAAGGGGAGGAGATGGGTCTAGCGGACCGCTGAGTGGCCGTGAGATTCCTATCGACTCACTGAGGGGGGGGCGATGACCCCCCCGACCCTGGGGGACGGCCCCCCGACTGGTCGGTGGAGGGGCCCCTTTTAAACCCAGGAGCACGGAGGCCGGTAGGCGAGCGACAAGCGTCGGGCGTGGCTGGGCGTCCCCGCCCGTGGGAGCCGGTGACCCGGCAGAGCCCCTAGCGGGTGCGCTGTTCGCACCCAGGCACAAAATTGTATGGTGGGCGCCCTGGCAGTGCTTACAGGGCCGCTGGTGCTGCTAGTCCCTTAAGAAGTGCCTTTCCAGGCAAAAGTAGCACCAGAGGCGCTCCCTGGCGATGGTTCGCCTCGCCGGGACCGGCTTGCCCAGGTACTTTGGGCAGGCTGTCACTCGATGCTCGGATGCCTGACAATAGGAGCAGGGGGGCGCCTCCCTGGCCGCTAGTCCGCTATAAGAAGGCAGGGGGCGGCGCCCTCCCGCGGGAGCTCCGCTCGGACTTAGGGGGGTTGGCGACGCTTTGCTCGTCAGATTCCACCTCTCCCTGGACACCGCTCGGGCGACAACCGGGGGGTCCTCGACGGCACCTGCTGCGTTCTCCATCTGCCTGCACTGCTCCTCCAAGAACCGCAGCAATTCCCTGAAGGGAGGAATATAGGAAGGGAGGCGCCGTCCCCGCCGTACCTCTCCTCGAAATGGAGCCGAAGATCGAGAGGCAGGCGGGACAGCACAATGTGGAGCAACCACCGGTAAATCCAGCCGCCGCAACGAGTTGCAAGCCACCACGACTGGATTCACGATGTCCGTACGTAGTCTGGTCTGGTGGTTTAGCAGCTTCCGAACGTAGTCGTCCGCAATCCGCCGGACGTTGGCGTTGACCTTCTGGCGAGGAGGTCCCGAGCATTCTGGTAGGCGTTGTCTGACAATTTCAGGTGGCCGACGACGTCCAGGCCCTCCCCCTCCAATGAGGCTAGGAGGTACCCCATTTTCTGGCTGGGTGTCAAGTCCCTCCGGGCGTCCACTAGGCTGCCAAACAGACCGACGAAAGTTAGCCATTCGGAGAGGACCCCGGAGAACCTTGGCAGGTCCAGAGTCGGGAGTCGTCCTAACAGCTCCGGCTGAGTAGGCTGCTTCCGAGGGGACTCGGGCCGGCCACTCAGCCGAGCTTCACGCGCTTCCTCCGCATCCTTGGCCCCCGCCTCGATCAAGTCGTCCGTGAGCAAAAGGAACTGCTCGTAGTCCGCGCGGCAGGAGTCCAGGACTCCCTTTTCCACATTCGAGTCCTCTAGCCCAGCGTAAGCCTCCACTGCGGCCCTTCGAGCATCGACCTTCTCAAGCCGCTTCTTCAAGTTATAGACACTATCTGGTCGACCTATCAAAGCATGGGCGCTAGCGGCCCAGCGCAGCTCCGCCCTCAGACAACGAATTGGTAGCTTGTGCGATGGCGAGGCGCCCGCGAGCCGCGTGCCAGCCGGTGCTATGTACATCGGAGAAGCGCGCCGACGCGCCTCCGTTATAGTAATTTTAAATTTTAGCGTTTGGCGCAAACAAAGTATATATTTCAGTCCATGTCACACCTATGCCGGTAGTTGTTGGGAGCACTAAGCTCGAAGTTGATGACGAGTATGTTTAACTGGGACAAATAGTCCGACTAGGTAAGTCCAAATTCGACCGAGATCAATCGACGGATTCAACTCAACTGGGCAGCGTTCGGGAAATCACGACACATCTTCTCGTCAGGTATACCTTAAAACTTGAAAACGTGACTATACAAACAGTGCATGTTGCTAGTGATAACTTTTTGAATTGAGACATGGTTATTCACTGCTGGCTGTATGAGGAAGTTCAAGTTCGCTCAGTGAGCTATGGAGACGGCTGTGCTCGGAGTTTCTCTGCGTGATAAACTTAGAAATGAGGATATGAAGATATACAGGAACTCTATGGATGCAGGTGGCTCAGGAGTCAGGACCGTGCTTTGTGGCATTCCTTGGGGGAGGCCTATGTTCAGCAGTGGACTTATGGATGGCTGTAATGATGATGATGAATTAGAATGGTATCAAAATAAAATTCGGTTATTGAAGATATGAATCACCACTATTACGATTTTAACAAATTAAAAGACGATTTGGAGATAGTAATACCTAACTCAAATACATTAAAACAAAAAATCAACTTAAAATTTAATGTCAAGTGGATTCACATTGAAGACTTTCGCAGATATTTTCATAAGACAAACTATGACCCCTACACACCATTTCCGGAAGTCTTTCTTCTAAAAAATATGATGTTATCCCAACAGTGTCCATTAGATGTGACATGATCAAGGGTGAACAAGGGTAAAATTTCAAAAGAAAAACTTGGTGATATAAGAACACTACTTAATTATGTTGAGCGGGAGTCTCAGTGATTTTACATAAATATTCTAAATTCTCAATAATGAATAAATAGTCTTATAAAATTATAAAATTCATTAGAATTATTTTAATAATAAAACTATTTTATATAAATAATGGTATTTTATTTTTTTCCCCACATAGAGCCTTTGTAAGTTCTTCTTAACAACTTTGAAATGATTTATAGTAAACAAAGGTGGTATGTTCATATTTTCATTGTTTTTTAATAAATTTGCATAGAATAACCTATTTTTTAATATAATATATATATAATAATCAATGTTATCTAAGTATTGGTACTAATATTTTATTATAAAACTATAAGATTTAATTACTAAACTAATTTGATTATTTATTATTTTCAAACGCTCCTTACTCGTTTAGAACTATTTGCTAGTTAACACCTTTGTCTACTTAACCCTTCAGTTGTTTCTTTCCACCTCCGCACGCTAACCTACGTACACACAACCACACATAAACTTATAAGCTTGTCACTCACCACAATGAAGTGAATTTGATCTATCTTGTTGTGATGAGTGACAACAATAAAGGTTTCAGATATACCATTTGAAAATAGACACTGGAGAAAAATCTGTATCATGTAATATCTATGAATATAAATGTATTACAAAAAGTAATTTGTACAAAAATACATACCGTAGAAAAAACTTTTTCTTATATATAAATATATACTAAAATATAAAGAATAAGGATTCTTAATAGATGTCTATGGGCCACAGCTAACTTTGGTGAGTCCTCCTTAGGACCTGAGTAATTAGTACCCATAGTATATGTCTTTCCTGCACCAGTTTGTCCATAGGCAAGTATCGACACATTGTACCCTGCAAATATATTTACACATTGTCAACATACATTGTACATAGTAGGTATATTAGGCTAAATAACTATTGTAATGGGTGTAATTTAAAAATGTTAATCGTAATGATCAAATCAAATCTCATATTCATTACAATTCAAATCAAAATTCATAGTTTGATATTTAATTAATAAAAAATGACTCTTTGCTATTCATAAAACTGTGCAATTTACCTTGGAATAATTTTCCTACGAGACCTTTGACTGCAGTGTCATAAAACTCCTGTTGTGTAATATGTTGTGGGAATACATAATTGTATGTGAAAGCTAGATTCTTAATTTGTACTTGAGCTTTCCCTCGTACAACTTCGATAGGCACATAACATTGTCGTTCTATTTCTTGTTGAAAAACAGGTCTAATTCGTAAAGAAACTTGCATACCACCCAAGGTACCTTTATTGTTCTTGCCGTCCATCATTTTTCTTAATTTAACTTTCTTCAATATATAAGATGAGGCTAGGGCCTTATAGCTTGGGCTATATTGTATTATAGTAAAATAGTAAATTGATTCGAAAGAGTATACGTATAGTAATTGTCCTATACAGGAATGATGATCACAGAATACTTTACTCCTAGATGATGATGGCGCTCATAAAAAATGGCGCTCAAAGAGTATAATAACCATAGATAAATATATATGTAGCAAGCTATAATAACTATAGTGCCACCAACTTATCTGTTCAGTTGACAGCGTCGCTAGTGGAGCGCTTACTATTGCCATTTAAGAAATTCACCGAGGAAATAGGTGACTATAGTGCCACCAACTTATCTGTTCACTTGACAGCGTCGCTAGTGGAGTGCTTACTATTGCCATTTAAGAAATTCACCGAGGAAATAGGTAACAACATATTCATTACACATAATATAAAATAAAACAAATTTCGTGATAATATATTAAAACTAGTGAGAATTAGTGTTACTATATATACTATTTATATTTTATAAAAATAATTATGGTCGTGATCTCGGAGTTCAAGCGGCCGAATTCCAGGAATTTCTGTTTTGAAAAATGTACCCGCGTTAGCTACTGGTTCCAATAATTCATCTTCCGGAATCGCTTTCACTATCGCTCTGACACTATAATAAAGGGTTCATTTAAATACGCGTCTCTTAGTCTGTATTCATTTTCAATTTTTCTTACATGATTACAAATGTTTTTCCACTGCATCGGTGTAATTTTATGAAATGAATCTTCAGTTAATTGGGGCATTAGAACATTAGCAACACAAACTATAAAGCTAGGCACTTTAGATGAATTGCAGTAAATTGAGTTAATTTTTTTACTATGTTTCACAAGTACATTATTTGGTGATTTTAATTTTCCATATCTGGCAATACTAACCTGTCGCGGCAGCAACGCGTTCATACAGCTTTTCAAATGGTATAGTTGGGACTCATACAGGTTTCTCTTCTTTCATAAATGATAAAACCTTTAGGATAATCTATCGCGCATCACTTTTAAGACCTTTAGGCATTTTATTTACACTTTTTACAAACACTCACCTGATAGTTCAGAATAAATAATAGATGACAGCGAAATGTCATTTACAAAATGGCGGCTTTAGTTCCAATTTTGTCCACCTGAACAGATAAGTTGGTGGCACTATACATATTCATTACACATAATATAAAATAAAACAAATTTCTTGTTAATATATTAAAATTAATGAGAATTAGTGTTATTATATATATTATTTATATTTTATAAAAATAATTGTGGTCGTGACCTCGGTGTTCAAGCGGCTGAACTCCAGGAATTTGTGTTTTGAAAGATGTACCCGCTCTAGCTACTGGTTCCAATAATTCATCTTCTGAGTCGCTTTCGATATCGCTCTGACACGCTATAATAAAGGGTTCATCTAAATACGCGTATTTTAGTCTGTATTCATTTTCAAGTTTTTTATATGATTACAAATGTTTTTCCACTACACCGGTGTAATTTTATGGAATGCATCTTCAATTAATTGGGGCGTTGGAACATAAGATTTACCAACAGTTTTATAGTAGATTGAAATAAAATTTTTACTATGATTCACAAGTACATTATTTGGTGATTTTAATTTTCCATATCTGGCAATACAAACCTGTCGCGGCAGCGACGCGTTCATACAGCTTTTCAAATGGTATAGTTGGGGCTTGTACACGTTTCATAAAAGATAAAACTTTCAGGATAATCTGTCGCGCATCACGTTTAAGATCGTTAGGCATTTTATTTGCACTTTTTAAAAACACTCACCTGATAGCTCAGAATAAATAATAACTGACAGCGAAATGTCATTTACAAAATGGCGGCTTTAGTTCCAATTTTGTCCACCTGAACAGATAAGTTGGTGGCACTATAATTAGTAACTGACTAACCAAAGAGTATAGTAAGGCCGGCCATATACATACGGAATTACGTTTCGTTATTCCGTTTCGGAATCCCGTATCGGGATTCCGTGAATACACACACACACACACACGTTTTTTTCCTTTCGGAATAACAAGGGTCGGTTGAGAGACGTTAGCCATTGAGTCTAGACATTCTGCCAGTGAATAATGACGATGATTTTGTAATTGCGATTCCATTGTTGCTGTATCATTCGTACTAGGTGCATCCCCTTATCACACTAAACTTGTAATATAAAAAGTCAATACTATGTAAAAATATCTATTTATCCAGGGATATTTTTAAATATTTATGTATGTAAATTCTAGAGTATGTTTACCTGGGACAAATAGTCCGACTAGGTAAGTCCAACTTCGACGTAGTAGAACCAGAGTGATCGAAATAGCCCAACGGATTAGTAAGCTGAAATGGCAATGAGCCAACCATATAGCTCGAAGAACCGACAACCGATGGGGAAAAAAGGTTCTCGAGTGGCAGCCTCGTACGCGCAGGCGAAGTGTTGGGCGTCCCCCCACTAGATGGAATGACGACCTGGTGAGATGTGCAGGAAGTCGATGGATGCAGGTGGCTCAGGACCGTGCTTTGTGGCATTCCTTGGGGGAGGCCTATGTTCAGCAGTGGACTTGTGAAGGGCTGTAATGATGATGATGACTCAGGGGTGAGACGACACAACTGGTGGTCGGCATAAACGAAGACGGCTCCGTGGCGCAGTGGCTTATCAATGAGTGGCTGCGCTGGGGACCGCGGGTTCGATTTCCGCACGGAACAAGTATTTGTATGGCCTACAAATAATTGTTCCGGGTCTGGATGTTTGTCCTTGTGCAATTTGTGTTTGTAAACTGCCTCCACGATACAGGAGAAAATCCTAGTGTGGGGGTAATGTTTAAAAAAAAAACATAATATAGGTGCGATGGCAATAGATCGTATGTATACCTATTCTTCAAATTTCTTACAGCTGAGATATGCTCATAAGCAGAATTTCGAGATTTGAATTGATTATTGCCAAGCGGTAGCTTTTGCTGACGCACGGATGGGCCAGCTCGAACCGGGGTGGTACCACGACCTCACAGAATAACAGCGTGAAGTAGAGGTTTACCTCTGCGTTGCGCTTGGTGAGTGCAGGTGGCCGGAGGCCCAATTCGCCCCCCCCCCCCCATCAACATGGTAGTGGAATTAAATAAAAGACTACCCCAGGAGGGTACCAGCACCCCTGGAGAATCCCTCGCTGAGCATCCACGACCAAACTACTTCACTCCTGGGCGTGGGTGCTCAGGCTGCCCCGTGTATTCTTGGGGGCAAAATTCCGCTCGCGACTAATGCTGCGCAGGGCAGGCGGAGCAATACAACCAAGGCGACCCCTGTCACGCTATCCGTGAATTTTTGCAACATCAGGGGACTTCATTCCAACCTTAACGCTGTCCATTACCATCTAGAGACGGCGAAGCCGGCCTTGCTCTTTTTAATCGAGACTCAGGTGTCCTCTCTGGCTGATACTTCATATCTCTCCTACCCGGGGTACAAATTGGAACACTCCTTTGTGCCCCGGGCTGGAGTTTGTGTATACGTCGGAGAGGACATCTGTTTTCGACGCCTCGGCAGCCTTGAAGTTACGGACCTGTCCATCCTATGGGTGCGCGTAGACAGCGACGACCATCCCCGCGTCTACGGGTGCCTCTATAGGTCCCATAGCGGTAATGCAGACACAGACCGACTCATCGACCACGTCCAAATGGCTGCAGACTCCGTGCTACAACAGGTCCCATCCGTAGAGATCGTGATACTCGGTGATTTCAACGCCCACCACGCTGAATGGCTTGGTTCTCGTTTAGATCGCGGATAGATCTGTCTATGATTTTGCTTTGGCATATGGTCTAACACAACTGGTTACTTCGCCTACGCGGGATCCCAGATGTGGAAGACCATGTACCTTCCCTGTTGGACCTTCTGCTGACCTCTCATCCGGACGGATATCAGGTCTCCGTCGATGCCCCTCTGGGCTCTTCGGACCATTGTCTGATCCGGAGCACGGTGCCACTCACGCTCCAATCGCAGTTGCGATCTGCAGCTTGCCGCCCTATTTGGCACTATAGGTCAGCTGATTGGGATGGGATGCGGTCTTTTTTTGCATCCTACCCTTGGGGGCGGGTTTGCTTCTCGCCGGAAGATCCCAGCGTTGTTGCCGATTCTGTTGCTGATGTGGTACTTCAGGGTATGGAACTTTTTATTTCATCCTCTGTGGTGCCCATCGGAGGCAGATCCCAGCCATGGTTTGGTCGCTCCTGTAAAATAGCATTACGCTATAAGCAGGAGTGCTACCGGGCCTGGGCTGACGCATCAACGTCTCGGGATGTAAACACCAGCGCTCTTAAAAAGAAGTATAATTCCGCCTCCAGGTCCATCAAAAGCGTCATTGCCAAGGCAAGGTCTGAACACATCGTTAGAATTGGCGAGAAGCTAGTTCGCCTTCCTTCGGGAACCCGTGCATTCTGGTCTCTCGCCAAGGCTGTCCAAGGGAACTTCTGTCAGCCATCTCTTCCATATCTGCACAGAGAGGATGACTCACTGGCCCATGCCGCAAAAGAGAAAGCCGATCAGTTGTGCTCTCTTTTTGCGTCTAACTCGACTCTAGATGACGGGGGGAACATACCGCCGACTATCCCGCGATGTAAGTGCTCCATGCCGGATGTGTGATTTACACAGCTCTCGGTTCGTAAAGCACTCGTCTCCCTGGACGTCAGTAAGTCGAGTGGGCGCGATGGAGTCCCTCCCATTTTGCTGAAGACGTGTGCTCCGGAGTTGGCACCGGTTTTAACGCGTCTTTTCCGGTACTCCTACTTCCAAGGCGTAGTCCCGAATTCATGGAAGTCAGCTTTGGTCCACCCGATCCCTAAAAAAGGCGACCGATCAGACCCGTCCAACTACAGGCCTATCGCCATCACCTCCTTGTTCTCCAAAATAATGGAATCCATTATAAACTGCCAGCTCATGAGGTACCTTGAGGATCACCAGCTGATCAGTGACCGCCAGTA